CGAGAGATTGGAGCTTTTTTTCGGAGCGTGGAACCACCTAATTGCTGTTGTTCCCAGGTCCATCCTGATTCGGAGTGGTAACACCTGTTAGGTTCCCAGCTATGGGCAAATAGTGGACCCCCAAGCAAAACAGTATGAAAGGATAAAATACCTGTAATATATTTTTCTCTATAAAAATTAGGCATAGGCAACTACAGTAGAATGACAAACAATACATTTTAAAACAAAATGACTAACATTATATTTCATCTGTATTTGGAGGTATACTATCGCATTCAGAGTAGTAAAATTTCGGCATTAAATAACACAACAAATCAACTAACCAACCAAATGACCAAATTGTACGACATTCGTTCATATAATACTCTAGAATTTCTTAAATAATCAAACTGTATTCTAAAATATTACGTAAAGAAAACTACAGCATAAAACACACATATCACCACCACTACTAATTATATGTAGATGCACAAAAGCTGAGTATTATTTACCATGGATTCTACTGTGAAAGCAGAATAACAGGGATAAGATTTAGTAGTTCAAAGCGACCAAGAAAATTAAATTTCGGTCGTAAATGAACCATAAGGTGTTGATATATTGTTATAAAAACGAATCAGTGAGTAAAGAAAGTCTAGACTTGCAGTTCGTCCACAAACAACAGAAGAGGAAATCAACAAGAAAAAAAAAAGAATCCTGTTCTCAATAATTTGGTGTTTATTTCAATGAAGTTTCCAGTAGGACATGGTATTCTCTCTGGAAGGTGGAATTTAGGTCTCTTCCACTCTTCTTGCCCGTCCTGGGTATGACGATAAACTACATCCACGTCCTGGGTATGACGTTAAACTACATCCGTGTCCTGGGTAAGACGATAAACTACATCCGCGTCCTGGGTAACACGATAAACTACGTTCAGCAGCAAGGCTTCTGATAAGAAGTTTTGAGGAGCGTGGAACCACCTCTTAATTGCTGGTGTTCCCAGGTCCACCCTGACCCGGGGTGGTAGCACCTGTTAGGGTCCCAGCTATGGGTAAATAGTTAACAGCCCAATTTGTATAAAAATAAGCTTTAATACCAGAAATACTTTGTAATAAAAAAAATATTACCAGCAATAATTTTTGAAGGAAAAATTATTATCAGCAATACTTTTAAAAAAAATACCACAGATACAAACATCTATACATTCTTTAGAAAAAAATATGACCAGCAATAGTTTTCTTCAAGGAAAACTATTCTCAAAAATGAATCTTTGAATAAATACATTGCCAGCAAAAAGATGTTGTCGATATTAAATAACCCATTGAGGTTGATATGCCGTAAATCAAACCAAACCAATCCACTCTTCTTACTTCAGCTGAAGTGATCGGTTGGATGGTCGGATGCCCTATCTCTGTCTGACTCTAGCCTGGATTCTGCATATATAAGCCTGAAAGCGGAAATATCTGGTTTCCGACGAAGTGCCACTTGACCTCATTTTTCGTTTGTTTATTTATCTATTATTTTCTTCCCATTCGCCCAAGTGATTAGCCGCTTTGAACATTAGATTTAACTGAACTTCAAAGACTTTATCTCCTTGCCATTAAAACAAACCACATCGATAGCATCGTTCAGTGTCAGTCAGATGTGGGACCTGTTATTCCAAGAAATCAAATCCAAGTCAAAGGAAAAGAAAAAAAGAAGACAGCTACCTATAAAACAACATGGCGAACTGTTCAATACTTCTGGAAATTGAACTAGAGCAGATCTGTAACACTAAAAACAATAAACATGCCTCAGCGACAACGATTTAAATCCTAATTCAAAGAGTTTCACGCTATGGTGATTTCAAGAAAACAGTACTCACTGGCCATTTAAGTACACGTAAAGAAATATTCTTTTATGCAGATTTCTAACCAGTCGTTGACGTGGCATCACTTTACTAGTTATCGTCATTTTAACATTTTTATTCTGACCTGCTGAATTTTATTTCATGCATTAATAAGTTGAAAAACAGGACATTTAAATCATGGTCGTTTGAGTCAGACGAGCGGGGCTAATATTTTAAGAAGTGGTAATATACCAAGATTTACAAGGTACAGACATGTCTAGGATTTAAATAGAATGGTCAGGAAAAAATATTCCATTGAGCGACATTTCTAAGCGATTAATCCCAAGTTGATGAAAGAGGTCGAATGCCATTAGCCAGACTTAGGCCAGCTGACAAAAAAGCTACAGCAGACGAAATATTGTTTACAACGGAAGTATACAAAAGTGAATCTCTGAAAGATTAATAAACCGAACCTTGACTCAGTTGAGCTACAGCATTAGAAGACTAAACTGGGTACCACTTTTGCCAGAGAAGAACAAGAAACTGAGGCTAAAATTCGCTAAGAATCGCAAAAAATGGACAATAGAAAAGTGGAAAGACCTTGCTCGGTCTGATGAGTCTCGATTCCTGCTGCGAATTTCGTATGGTAGGAATAGAATTTAGCGCCAACGAAATGAATACATGGATTCATCCTGC